CCCCCCCTCCTCTCTCTCTCACTCTCTTTCTCTTCCCGGGGCTAACCAAATACGACATTACTGGTCTGCCAGCCAGAGAGGAAGGAAACGCGGGGAAAACAAAACAGGAGTGTCAAGCCGCGCGCTCCGCTCCGGCCCGGCTCAGCTCCGCCACGAGCCACACCGCGCAAACGAGACGTCAGGTAGATTCGTATTATGAGTTTCGAGCCGAGCGGAGGGATTTGCTTCCAGCGCCAGCGCCCCCCCTCCTCCCATTTCCCTGGCCTTTCTTTTGGTGTCCCCGTATTCGGTCTCCTTGTCGCACCTCTCCCCCCCCCTCTCTCCCTTTCTCTCTCACTCCCTCTCTCTTCCTCTTTCTGTCTCCCTCACTGTCTCTCTCTTTCTCTAACCCTCTCTCTCCCACGCCGGAACACACAACAACACACGCGCGCACACACGAAGACAATGACTTTTGATTACATCCAGCGCGAGAGTCGAAAAACACCACCAGGATCCAAGTCCATGCGGCGTCGTATGTGCCGGAGGCGGCCTTGTGGGGGCGGCTGGAGCAGGGACACGCTGGGCGGCCGGCCCGCTCTCGGCCCGTGTGGCCTGGGGCCCGGGGCCCGGGGCCGGCCGCAGGGCGCCTGCAGAGTCGAGGCTAGGCCGCCCGCCGCGGCGCGCTGTGCGGCTGCCCCGGGGAGCCTACCCCCCAGGGGCCCTGCTCCTCCTCACCCCGCTGCTCACTGCGCCCCGCAAGCCTTCCTGGAACTCTGCCTTACCTTCGCCGGCGGGGATGACGTCCGGGTTGGCCTCGTCGGCCTGGAGCTGCCGCCGGTCGGCCAGGACGACACGCGGTGCGCCGCCGTTTTTGTCCACGAGGAGGAGGCTGGTGGCCGCGGTGGCGGCGGCGCCGTTGGCCCGGTCCTGGTCGTCGTCGGCGGCGGCGTGGACGTCCCCGTCCTCTTCGGCGTCCTCCTGATGGGCCGCGCGCCGGCGGGGGCGGCAGGCGGCGATGGCCAGCAGGGCCCCGCTCGCCACGAGCAGCAGGGCGCAGGACGCGGCCACCAGCCCGCCCAGCAGCGGGTCCGCGGCTCCGCCCGACAGGTTCGAGGGGTCGGCTGGAACAGGCAGAGGACGTCGTCAGCGGCAGCCCGCGCACAGCACACGGCGCAAACTGGAAACTGACTCCTCCTTGTCTTTTTGCTATGTTTGTTAAAGACTCGCGCGGACACAAAAATTATGCAGCAAGCGCGTCCGCTTTGCATCTAGTTGTGCAGCGGGGAGAATTAATATTTATGAAAGTTGCTGTCCCCGGTGTATAGTTTTCTAGCGCGGGCGGCGGGGGCGGCGGTGCGGGGCGCAAGCTCGGCTCGGATCGAGGAATGACGGTGATGAATGGCACACCTCTCTGCATGACGCGACCCGCGCCATTCTTTTGTCGTCTACATTTGCAATTTCCGCTTGCGAAATTCCCTCACACAAAACGAGGGAAGCCGGAGGCAGCAGCGCGCGACAGGCAAGTGCAAGGCGAGCGCCCGCCTGACCGGCCACGGCGGTCGGGGCCGCGTCAGGTCAACTCCGTGGGCAGCCGGCGGGGCGGGGGCAGGGCGGGGCACGACCGACCGACTGGCGGAGGAAAGTTTAGTTCCGTCGTTCAGGACTTTAGATTGGTGGGCCGCTATCCATGGTTTCCCCTCGGTTACTTATAGAAGTTGCTGTGGGTCCCGCGCTGCGAGGCGGGGTGGAACCGGGCTGGGTGGAACCAGGCAGGACGGGGCTGGCCCGCACCACAGCAGCCGCCGCGTATTCTGTTGATCGGCGTCGCGCAACCGTAGGGTAGGGGCAAGTGCATAGAGAACTGCAATAAGTTGAAGGAAAGTAATACATCGTTCGTGGACAAAATGACTCATTATTTGCCCCCTACGCACTGTGCAAACTATTTTCGTATGTACGATATAATTTGTTATTTACCATTTTCAATATGGTACATGTAGAACCTCCCACTCTTGTCACTGTTAAAAATTACAACCCTGTTTCTGGAGTGCTTTATGTCGTTCGATTCCAAGTCGATACGCGGTACGTGTAAATTTACAACTTTGAATAGAAATTGTTTACGACATCTTCCATGGAAAATTTTCCTGCGTACCCGTTACGACAATTTTTCTCTGTACCATTTGTCTGCGATAATTTTATTTAGAATAAACAACATCTCTCTGGGGGATCTTTTTTTTTTTTTGACGGGCGTACTTACAAACAACATGTGTCCGCCACCAACAAGGCACGCATATTATAAATTTTAAAATGTCCCCCTCGCCCTCCCCCTTATCCGAGCGATGAAATGTTAATTTAAGTATCATTAGACGGGGGCTGGGTGGGGCCCGGCCGCCTGCCGGGGGCGCGCTGCCCCCTCACGCACCGCACGCCTCGCAGCGCCACTTCTTTACGTCCCTACAGGGAGGCGTCTTTCACTCCAAGTCTTAAAAAGTCAAAAATACGCCGTACGTACGCAAGGTTGGGCCCAGGCACACTCAACAGCAGCGGCAGCAGCAGCAGTAGCCGCAGCGCCTAGAAACTGCTTCCCCGAGCGCGGCAAGCAGAGGCGAGCACCGCGCCACCCTGAGTACCAGAGCGCGGAGGAGGGGCGGGAGGGGCGCGCTCGGTCCGAGCGCGTAAAGTCTGAGAGGGAAAAGATTCCCCTCATAAAGGAGGCAGTTCATCTAGTGTCTAACCCTCGCCCCAACCCCCGTTCCCTCTTTTACACTGCCATTTACCAAACCCTTGACCAGAGCGAGAGGAGTTGCCAATGTCCACAATTCATCGTACCGTCCCCCTCATCTCCGTATATCTCTCTCTATCTCTCCCCTGCCTCTCTCTTCGCCTGCTCCCCTTCTCTTACATCTGAGCCGATCAATTGTCTTGGCTAACATGTTCGTACTAGACGAGTACAGACAAAAATAAATTAAATAATCTGGCGGCGCGAAGCGGTTTAGTTGCGGGGCCCAGCCACAAAAAGAAACAGTTGTGGTGAACGGGAAATTGAATATTGTGTGTTTCAGGACGCCCACGCCGAACCATCGACTCGACTGTTGTCAGAAAATAGAAAGTGGATATAGGGGCTTATTGGGACGGTTTGGTGGCCTTTTCGCCCCTTGCCCCCTTGCCGTTTTCTTGGTAGATGTTTGCGCGAGGCTAAAATGGAGAAACAATTATCAAATTCTCTCGTGGCCGCCTTGCATCCCCCACCCACCTCCCCAGACATTGCCTGGGGCCATATCCGTCTAGGTCGAATGAAGGTCGGAGTGGGCGTACTATCAATGCTCTTTCTCTCTTCTGTTCCGAGGGGGGCCTTCTGGACGGGGAGTCAAGCAGTCAGCAGAGGGATAATCTGATTTTCAAATTTAGCTGAAACTGTCGATTTCTCTGCAATATATTCACCTCCTCTTGGGAGACATTTTCTCAGTAAAAACAACGCCCAGTCTTTGCACATAGTCACTATGGAGACTTGGAGAGTTCATGGATAAAAATAGATCGACATAATAATAATAATGATACGACCCAACAATGCCTTTATGAGTTTTGCTTGGTTGTTTCTGCGCCCCGCGTTTCTGCACCTAAATTAATCTCTGCTGCTGCGGAACTACACTGCTGGGCTTGGCTGGCCCCGCGGGTTGTTTCTCCTCCCTGTTTTTCCAGTTTGCGTTTCCAAGCCCCTGCCGCCCCCTTCCCCCACCCCTGCCCGGGGCCCGCGGCCCTCAAGGCCGCCACCGGAAGAATTGCAAAGCGACTGATGGAGCCGAGTCGGTCCGGAGTGGACCGGCCAGCCCCAGGGCCAGCCCCTGCGCACGGACTATGATTGATCTAGCCCAGATCAGCGCGGGGCTCTTAGGAGGCCGAGTCGGAGCCCCGCGGAGCCCGCTGTTGAGTTCCCCGGCGATCACCGCCTGATCTGTGTCTGATCCTCGACAGAGACCGCCGTCCGCCCGGCCGCCCGTCCGGCCGGCTCGTCTCGTCCGGCCGAGCGATGGGGATGAAGCCAGAGAAGAAGAAACTTCCAAAGGGGGAAGTTTGACCGACGCAACGGCGAAACGCAGCCCCCTGTCGCTTTTTCCCCTTTGCGCCGGCCATTCAAGTCCGGAGCGTGGCGCAAGATAAAGATGTTTCGGGGCAGGAACCATCAGCGATATCATATGCGTCAACATGTTTACCCCCCCCTCGCCCGCCTCTCCCTTACAGCCGCACCAATGATAGAACATTGTCGGTTGCGTCGCTGACAGGCCGACGGTGGTATCGACGGGACGGTAAGGACTGGGGAAAGTGAAGGCGATAGTAAAAAAACAACATAAAATAACACACACACAGAGAAAGACTCTTTATTCCAAAGCTCTACGTCTTTCCAAACACTCGGGTGAAAAGAATGTAAGAGAAACAAGAGAACCTGCAGTGGACGTGAAGGGAGGTGGGGGAGGGGCGCTGAGAGGAGACAGTAGGAGGAGGAGGAGGCAAAGGACAAGGTATGGGGTAGAGGCAGGGACAGAGGGCGAGGAGCGAGGAGCGAGGAGAGGCAGAAGAAGCGAAGGAAAGGCGGGCGGTCGTGGAGATCTCATTCCTGGTGTTTTATGATACAAATATCCCGGCAGGCGTTGCGCGCCTACTCTCCAAGTGGTGTTTGAAGCGACGCTTACTCTGCATGTTTATGATTCTGTTGCGCGCCGCGGCGCCATGGGAGCGGAGACAGATGGGGGGCACGGGGACGCGCCGGGCGTACGTGCGCGCGCCTGTCCGTGTGTGTGTGTGTGTGTGTGTGTGTGTGT